AAAGATAGTAAATTTTATTTTTTATTTGTAATAGTTCTATTTTTTAGAAACTTTAATATTCAACTTGAAAAATGTTTGTCATATTACCTAAGTGAGATTAATATTAATATTTTATATTGGTAAAATTATTTTTCACAAAGTTAAACGCATATTTTTATCAGCTAAATTGTTAAAAAGAAAGATTTCCATACATTAATTTAAAAAGTTTAAATAGATTAGAGATATTAGAAATGATCAAAAATTCTTCAACAATTCATTCTCAGGGTCGTTTAAAATTTTCTATTTGCGCTAGGTATAATATCCCATTGTTTTTTTAAACTTTTTTCTTAAATTTGTCATTTATAAAAATTATAAAAAATATTTTTGTTGTATACTTATTATTTAATTTATTTTTATGATTAAGTTTTGTGGACTATGTATTTATGACTGATACAATGGATATACCTATAATAACTCATGCATTATATCTTATCTAATATCTATCATCAGTACTTATGAAGGGGAAAAATAAAAAGTAATTTAATTAAATAACTTACTTTTCTAATGAAATATTTCTATTACAAATTATTTTAATACTTATCATCAACTCATTAAATAATCCTAGTAATAGTGTTATTATTATCAATTATTATTTTCAGGATTTCCCGATCCATTGGATTTAGCTACAGGTATCGAAAAAAAAGAAATGCTTTTGCGTCTAGCTGGAAATGATGTAAGTTTTATACTATTAAATTATCTTATTTATTAGGGAGTCTATTCATTTTTATAGAACTAGTATTTATAGCATATAATATGTTATGTTGCATTATAGGACCCATACAATTTAAAATCTATTAAGCGAGGTGTGGGAACCAAAGAAACACCAAATGAAATTCCATCTGCCTTTGAAGCTAGAATTGTTGGTTGTGTATGTGAAGAAGACTCATCACATGTTAAGTGGATGTGGCTACACTCAGGCGAGCCAAAACGTTGCTTCTGTGGACATTGGTTCAAATTAGTTTACAAGGAAGCACTTGTTTAGATAATTATATGTCGTCGTTGTTCAACTATATTCAACAAGTTTAGTCCTGCTCCAAATATTTTTTTGTTTGTAAAATTGTTTTGTCATTAAAAAAAAAGTATTGTTGGCATCAGTATCAATTATTACTTTTGATTTTTATTGTTCGATACAGACTGAACAGTATTAAACAATATTGTTCCTTGAGAATTAGCTTTATATCAATGAAAGCACTTATGTTTTTCTAGGTCTTTTACAGTTTGCAGATAAATAATTAAAAAAATATTTTACCAAATAATTATATTATTTTATTATTTTAATATTATCTGTTTTATTAAAGATCTTAAGTTAAATACGCAATAAAATATCTGATGGTTTCTCAACAAACCATGTCTTGGAAATTGGAATTGCTTGCAAGAGCAGTGACTTAACAGACTGAAGGTGCTTTCTCCCTTACATATTTTGTGAATTATGATTATGATATAATATAGTAATTAAATATTCCATTGTGTAGTCTACAAGTACTACATGAGCAATTATGGAGACAGCAATTCGGATCTCGTTGGACGACTATTGTATCTTTAATCGTGATTAAATATGAATAATACGATTTTCACAMATATAATTGTTATGTATGCAAAGAACARGTTAGAAGTGTACAACTTTTATTATTATATGATATCCAAACGAACCTAGTTCCTACATAATATGTTAGTATAACTGAAWGGATTTATCTAAAATATTAGCTGATTTTCTTAAGTATAAATGTAACTATAATATAGAAATTCACTTAAGTAATAACAATTAATTCTTCATAATATATTTATTTATAATAATAAACGGGTCAGGCCCTTGACATTTACAAACATTAATAATTATTAATTTAATAATACACATACATAATGCTAAGACAGATAATAATATACAATAAAAAATAATTAGTTACAAAATAAATTGTTTATATGCCATTGGTCCTATTAGCTAATATCATATGCAAAAGGATTCATTGTATAAAAATTTGTCACAGATGGGACCTGGATTGAAGAAAGCACCAGAAACATTAAAATGCATCCTCACTAATATATTTGGAGCATCAGCTTCCCCACATTTTATATTAATAACCTGATATATTTWTTTTTAAATTAAAAATTAAAAGTAATCAGTTTATAGATTTTATATTTAAAAAAAGAATATTGTAAAAATACTTGGTGTATCGGAACTAGGGCTGTGTGATTATTATTTGAAGCAAATATTTTAATTTTTAATTAGGAYGTATTTTGCATATGGCATGGTTAATTATTTTTTCCATAAACATTGCATGTAGTTATCTTAATTAATAATACCTTATATTATCATACTATCATAGATATTAGATATACATTATACATATAATCTGGTTTGAGGGTAAATCGTTATCGTTACAAGATTTCATAAAAATTTAAAACTCAAACGCCCAAAACATTTTTCCTATAATGGCGCTTCAAATTTTCTTTATAGCTGTTTGAATCAAAACTTATAATATGGAAAACTTAGTGTTGAATTTTTTAACCTTAGATATAAATACAAACAATTTTATGAATTTTAAACTACAAAATAATTTGCGAATATTTATGGTTTTGACGAATTTTTGTCAATATTTGAACTTCAAATGCTAATAAATAAAAATTGTGCCTATGTATTCTTCTAATTTTTTAATCACTATAAGTATGACTTATGATGAACTTTGTATTAAATTTTCAGGTATTTTGATTCGGCCAAAAATATTTTATCGACACTTCAAAAAAAAAATTCAAACACACTTAAAATTTTTCCTATAATGATGCTTCGAATTTTTTCTATAGCTTCATGAAGAAAAACTTATGGAAAACTTAGTGTTGTATTTCTAATCCTTAATTATAAACACAAAAATTTTTATGATTTTTCAACTTCAAAATTATTTGGAAAATTTTCGCGTTTTCGACAGATTTTGTAGAAATTTGAACTATAAACGATTATAAAAAATATAATTGTGACTAACGATTTTCAATTTTTTTTTTAGCTACAATAAGAACAACTCATAAAGAACCTTGTATTAAATTTTCAAGT